CTCTGCTGAAGTTCCTGTGGTTGGAATTCCATCTTGGGCGGGGCTTGATTTGGTGGCTCTGTTGATACAAATTTTCTAATTCACTTTCTTCACCGGCACGATTGCACTGCTTCACCAGAAAACATCTGTCCACTGAACCATTGCAGTGAGAAACAAGATTATTGGGAAGCAGGTCTCATCACTTCTTCCGCTACTTTACTTCTTCAGCATTGCAAACAGTGTCTTTTTAACCTTTTAAAATGTGGTGAAGTCAAAATGTTTCATCATCTGTAGACATGGAAAATTCAGAGCAATTGAAATTGGGTGTCAGTTCTCCTGAAGAGAAAAACACGGTCTATCTTGGAGAAATAAGGACTTGTTTCAGTTTCTCACTATCTCTTCCAGGAAATAGTTACACAGAGATAGCTGACAGATTTTAAAAAAAAAAAATTATCAGACCAGACAACAATTTTATACATGCAGAGTTAAATTGTATGTCAAAGCCTGCCTATGGTGCCTTGTAGACTGGCTTTAATTCAACAGCTCAGGTCCATCTCTTGCCAACTGATGACAGGCTGGAAGAACAACCTAATTTGTGTATGTGCTGCAGCTTTACTTCAAATCTGGTGGTACCTCAGAAAGTCAGAGACACTCAAGCGTGTCAGTTGCAAAGTCGCTGCTTAACAAGCTATTTTTTTTTTAGCAAGCCATGACTATCACTTCCTCGTGCATATTGCATGGTTGAAAAGGTCTCAGTTGTCAGCTGTCTCAGGCTCTTTTTTTATATGAACACAGGATGTCTATCGAAGCGAGGTTTACAATATTTAAACTTTAGCACCTTCAGCACAGGATGTGCTACAGCTCGGGGGAAGCAGTCCAGATGAGTCACAAGCTGGATCGTAGAGGATGCTGTGGCTAAGTGTAAGCTGCTGGCATCTAAAGGTTTAACAGCAGATGGGAGCAGTGTTTTGCAGAGTCAGAGTCTTTTTCTTTTAATTGCTTAATAGTAATAATTGTTTTGAGTCTATTTCCATTGCAAATAATCAAAGGGGAAGTCTCTGCCACTCACATCACAGATGGATCTCTAAACAACAGACTACATCCATTTGAAATCTTCTGAATGAAGAACTTATGACTTGTTGGGGCACAAGAGGTAGAAATCTCTTGCAGCAAGCTGTCAACACTCCTCCCCAACCACTAAATTGTTGGGTTACCTAACGTAATCTCTGGTTCTTTGATAACAGCAGGTGTTTCACTGTTGGAATCACCTCAGTGTGACCAACTACAGAGGCTCCAATGACACCACACTGACAGACAAGTCCAGCTGTGATTGGGGTTCCACTCCCCTCAAATTGCCATGGTCAACCTCCCCTCCTTATGGTACATGTCCACAGGGGCATTTGTAAATGACAGACGCTGTACCACTTCCATGCACTGGACAATTAGCAGTGTCACAACAGATGACTGATAGGTAATCTCCAGGAAACCAACACAAGCTACACCCTCCCACCCAGGCTACAACCATGCAAACACTGACTGCACCTGATTGGATGAACACGCCACTCGTGGACTATCTTCATGTGGATTTTAAATGGGACCATCATGGTGACTTATTTTGAAACTTTCTCCTATGTTACAGTTTACCAAAATACATTTCTGAAAGCATCTGAGTTACTGAATACGTTCTCATTTCAGAGCCACAGTGGTTAGTTTTTCCAGTTTCCAGAGGTGTTGAGTGGCAGCTGGACACCCCTGATTTGCATAAAGCAGCCTCGACCTCAATTTTATGCAGATGAGGAGCGACCAACATAATGCCCCGTCTCTCGAAACGTATCAAGACGTTGCCAGAATAGGCGATGAAAGGGAAATGTGGACAGTTACTGTTGACATGTACCATTAATCATTCTAGACAGTGTTCTTCTGTGCCCAAGCAAGAAGGTAGGTTTCGGTGAAACACGTAACTCTGTTGTCACAGAATTAGGGATTACATTTTGTAACCCAACATTCTTTTTCTAACATCACATGGTTTTTCACTATGGAAGATATAACGCTTTCCCAGATTGCATTAGTTCTTAAAGCCGTGAAGCTGCGCTGACCCTGTGTGTGGTGCTCAGGCTGGAGCACTATCTGGGGAGTGAAGGAAGTGCAACATCCAGTCTGTAAAAGTGCACAAATGTGTGTGTGGCATGGCCCAACTTGCCCAGGATGTGGCCATGATCCTAGTACAGTGGAGTAGAATTACACAGTAAACCTTTATGGCCTCCAGTGAGATCATTTCTGGTCGGAAAATGGTTTGTAGCTATGGGGAGAAGCCTAAGAAACAAACAGCTGATCAGTCTCCCTGAATTCCACTGTTTTATCCACATACACTCTGAGCATCAGCACAGGACATAATGTCTTAAGCAGGAGCCAATTCGGTGGATGGACAAGGCTTGTAAATTACTCCTTCGCTTGGTTGTGGTTTGAGCCAAAATCAGTGAAAAGTCATGATGGAGAGAAACTTCCTCCCCACCACCTCAGTGGGCTCCCAACAGTGGTGAGAAAGGCCGTCGAACACAACCGACAGACCCCACAATGGGATCAGGGGCCTGGAATTTGGGAGTTTACGGCACATCTACCCCCATGCAGCAGCAGAATGGGGGGGTGCTGCCCCATGTTTGTCACCAACCCCCACATGGCAGGCTAAAATAGCCAGCAAATAAAAGGTTCAATTGATGATGAAAAATGCCTTCCAATTCCAGCCACTTCTGCAGAAACAGAGCACATCCACCACTGGAAGGCAATAATTTAGCACTCCAACCACCCCTTTAAAAATCCACCATTTCCCATGTAGAGAGCAGGTGGAGAAGGCTCTTCAAAATGGAGGCAGCAGCACTGAAATTCCACCATTTACAGGCCCAGAGAGCTACACAGTCTGGGTGAGGATGATAAATCATCCTCTGCACCTGGGAGAGAAGATGCCAGCGAATAAGGAGAGGCCATCGTTTGCCTGCCAGAAGCTGAATTATCTCTGCGATCCGGTGCTTGGATGGCCACTGAAGAGCTATCAGGATTAGTGACAGGCTCTACTCCATCACTCTCATTAGAACTGGAGCGATCAGGTGGAGAGGAGGGAAGCATGCAGCAGGACACTTGGCAATGGGTGGGCATCCATGTCTGGTGGTACATCTGTGCCTCATAGGGAGAAAAACAGCGGGCACTGGGCGTTTCCCTGCAAAGCAGCCTATTCGCATTTGTGCCAGACATGTCTCACTACCTGGGGCTGAAGTCTCCACCCACCGTGCAGCGAGTTCCCTCTGGACAGTAAATCTGCAGCCCTAATCAGAATCCCTGGCACAGGAATTACAGACAGAAATCTTGTGCATAATTATTGACCTGGCCAGCCTGTGCATCTGCAGACAAGAAGTGATTTGATGGCTGATTTAAGCTTCAACTACAGAGTTTTCATGTCACGTTGGTTTTCACTCGTCCATAAAGTTCTTGGAGAAAGGCAGAAAATGTTTTAATGCTGAAAACACTGCCTGCCACTTTAATATATTCATGTGCACCTGTGTGAAATGCATCACTCTGTTATTAAGAATCAGGGTTTACATTAAGTGTGCAATGTTTTTTAGTTTGCAGGAGCAGAATTTACTTCCCCCTGATTGAAAAACTGACAGAGCTGCTGTTAGGTCCTTGTTGCCTGCGATGGTCTAATAAACAAGGATTTTGCTCATTTGTGGCAGAGACTTATTGGCAACATCCTGCTTAACAAAAGTACTCACTCAAATCAACAAAATGATTTAAGACCAGCACAAATGTCCACTGCAAACTTTCAGTTCAGCAGTATGTAAGATATGACTGGGTTCACATGACTGGGACTACTTCACAGCATCCTATTAGCCCAAGAATGCAGCGTTCACTAGTAAAAAAAAATGCATGATCTGGTGTCCAAACTATTTTATATTACCAAGGATATGCAGCATCCATGAAACAGCCTGTAGAAAGCCTGCCCAGCCAAGGTGACTGAACCTGCAAGAGCAGGGATCAAAGAAATGCCCCTTTTTGCAGGAACTCGGATAACTGTATCCGTTACTATGGCAACAAAGACCCAGAAATGAACCTGCTGAGCCGCTGTGAGCATCATGTGTCCAGACTGAAGCAGTGTCTGCACCAGCAGTCCTTCATCTCATTACTGTGTCTACCACATGTTAACATGGCAGGAATTTGTGCAGTTTTGTACCAAGTCAGTAAAATGAATGTTTAATGCACCTTAAAAACCTATTATATTGCTTGTATATTTTAATGTAATTGTTTGCAATGAAAACCTGAAAACCAAGATAATTTTAGGCCATGGCTGAATTCTAAATGCCCACAACTGGATATGTTTAGATTCTGTGTGCATCATGTTGCAGCTGCTTCTTGAAGTCCCACTTCTTGCGATTTAAAATGACACATCTTCACTTATCTTGATTAACACGTACACCTTCAAGTATTCCAATCACGCTAGCTCTGGTTTATGTTGGTGATTGTTTGTTAACCCTCTGAAACCCAAGCAGTTTCGAGATGCATTTTGTTGTCGCATTTTCACTCCATGTGGGCTCATTTTTCACTGCAACACAAAGTTGTGCCCGTCTATGGAAACAGCAAAACCATGGCTAGAAGTAGAGAGAAACCAAATGCATTTTGTACAGTATAACAAAATCATAGCGCCATAAAGTATATGAAAAAAAGAAAGTTGAATTTCTGTGATCATTTATTTTACAAAAATTAAAAAAAAACCCAAAACAAAACAAACCCTAAAATCAACATGTACAACACTTTTCAAGAATTTCCTGAAGGAGAGGTATACATTGAAGTGATTTTGAGAAATATCACAACTGTTTAAAAACAATGTTCCTTTTAAATCCACCAGCAAGTTTTAGGGGTCAAAGGGTAAGTGAACTAAAGACAATTCTCTTTTTAAACTAGCAAACAAGTCCATAGTTTCCATACTGTTGGTTCCCCCTAAAGTGAAAAGAAACAAAAACAAGACCCACATATAGATTTTCTAGTTGACTTTACTCCTCATTTGAATGCATCAACTCACATTTATTAAGAAAAGTAACATCGTCTGTACAAGATACTTTTCTTTATCCAAAAAAAAAAAAAAAAATGTAACCGCTGGCAAACACAGGAAGATCATAAAATGAAAATTACAAAATTATATATAGTACATAAGTCATATCATAGAAAATAGCAATGAATAAAATGACCAGTGTACTTTACATACCGTCAACAAAACTGACTAAACCTATCTCAAAATATATGTCAAACATCCCGCCATGCTTCATCTGTATTCAAACAGAGCATTAAACTGCTTTAGTCACAGATTTACAAACACTGTCATGAAACTACATGGCTAATTTCTTGTATACAAATCCCATTATTAGAACTAAAATTATATACAGTCAATAAAAACTCAAAAGGTGCTCTATCATAGTGATGCAAGCAAAGCGCTTTCTAACTATGGAACAAGGGCAAAAAAATACAAAGTTGATTTAAATTTTAATTACAAGTGGAGGTACACAGTCAGATGTAAGGCATGAAAGGGGTTTCAAGATACTTTAGGTACAGCTATCCAAAGGGAAGATAAGGTATGTAAGAACCATTACTGTGAAGACCCAGCATGAGTCTGTTGATGTTCCTCCAGTAGGTGAGGAAAAGCAAAGGCTTTGTCACATTCTGTGCATTCATACACAACCTCACCGACATGACTTTCTTGGTGCTGTTTAAGAAAAGACCACTGGCTGAATGACTTGTAGCACATGTCACAGCGGTACTCTCCCACTTGTTTCTCAGCGTGCAGTCTCATATGCAAAGACAGTTCTAGTTCTGTGCTGAATCTACGGATGCACTGGGGACATTTAATCTTATTCTCTGCCAGCTGAGCAGCATTTGCGGCTTTTTGACTGTGCCTACGCTCATGCTTGTAAAGGTACCGCTTCTTGGCAAACGTTTTCCCACAAGTCCCACATGTGAATGGCTTCGCATTGTAATGCTCTGTGTTCTGATGCTCCAGGAGGCTACTTTTGGAGGAGAACTGCATTGAGCAAACAGGGCAATAGAACGAGTCCTCTCCCGTAACATCAACCTCCTCCTCCTCTCCTGTTGCAGGATAATAAGACGAACGGGATGTATTCGCTGACGGGTTTAAGTATTTGGTCTCTATTACTGCCTGCTGCCGACGGGAACAGTGGTGCTGACGGTAAGCTTCGGCCCCCAAAAACCTCTGTCCACACTGATTGCATTCATATTCAGAAGATGATACCACATGATGCCTTTCTTTCGGCTCACTTCCAGACGGAGACGCTAATTTTTCATGCTCAAACGCACCATCAGGATGCGTGGGAAAATGAACAATCAGTTCAGTGGCTGTAGCAAAACACTGGTGGCAAACTGGACATATGAATCTGAGTGAGGATCCTCCATCACCTGCTGCAGGACCAACATGGCTCCTAAGATGGCTGAGGAAGCGCTGAGAGGAGGAGAAACTGCTGTTGCACTGATTACATGGATATTCACTATTCGACCATGATGGTTGGTGGGTGTTCCTGTGCTTTTTCAGGTGAGACGCATGAAGAAAATGTTGATTGCAGTCGTTGCAAGCGTATGGTCGCTCTTTGGCTTCCATGCAGCCATGCTCTGAGAGCTCCTCCGGGTCTCTGAAACGCACATTACAAACGCCACAGCGATATTTCAGCTCTGTAGTGAATACATATGAGCTTTCAGAAGCCAACTTTTCAGGTTTTCCCCTTGACAACGAAGATGGAGGCCGTGAGCTGTGGTGGCTTTTCCGATGCTCAGCTCGGCTACTCTTGGACTGAAACACACGGTTGCATATATCACACGGGAAGTTCTCCTCGCGGTGGGTGGACATGTGCTCTGACAGCTGTGTGGGCCCCGTGAAGCTGAGGTGACACTTGGAGCACCGGTATGGGCGATTCTTGCCGTGAGAATGCTTATGTTTACGCAGTGCGAAGAGAGAGACAAAGCCCCTGCCGCACATCGGACACTGGAATTCAGAATTGTGCATTCGCTGATGCTGCTGCAGCTGGGACGCCTGGACAAAGCATTTGCCGCATTCTGCACATTCGTGTGGTTTTTCGCCCAGGTGACACAGCTGGTGATCCTCCAGATTTTCTGATGTTGAGAACGTTTTGCCGCACACGTGGCACGGGAAGTAGGGTGCAGAGTCCGAGTCGCTGTCCTCACTGCCGTTGTTTTCATCTTCATCGCTTTCACCAGCTGTGCCGGCTTGACTGTTGGACTGTTGTTCGCTGCTGCTCTTCTCCTGCGCAGCATCCCTCTGCTCTTTTTGATGCCATCTTTTATAGTGTCTTGACAACGACTTTTTGATCGCATAGGACTTGTTGCAGAATTTACAGTTATATACATCATCTTCATGTTCTTGCCTGTAATGGTCGCATAAAGTTGGTCTTGTCAAAAACCGCAGATTACACAGTCTGCAAACGTAAGGCCTACTCATGTCGTGACATGCTTTGTGGCTTTCCAGTTCAGATATGGTGTCAAACTTGGCAGAGCAAGCCGGGCAAGGGAAGGCTGGACCAAAGGTGTGAACCCTCATGTGTTTTTCAAGATTTGCTTGATTAGTGAACACTCGACCACACTTGCTGCATGTGTTGCGCTTTTTTGCTTGTTCCTCTCTTCCGTGGTCTTCGAGGTGACTAATGAGCAGTAAGCCATCTGTGAAGCTCTGATCGCATTCTGAGCACTGATACTGCACAGTTTTCTTCTCGCTGCTTGCGCTGTTTTGCACCGCATTTTCTTCAGAATTGTCAGGGGATTCATCCATTGCCTCATCTTTGCAGGAGAAGTTGGTCTGTAAAACCCCAGTGCCGGTTGTTTTGGAGCCTTCCTTGAAAACAATAACAGACTCATTCAGCGCAAAATCAATCTCTGCTTTCACGGGGCCTTCCGACTGTTGGGTTGTAACACCACCATTTCTGCATTTCCTGTAGTGATTTCGGAGAAGAGTTTTATTCCAGAAACCCCTATTGCACAATTTACAGTTATAGGGGCGGCCCACTGCATGTGTGCGCAGATGACCAGCTAGTCCAGCTTTATTTATAAAAGACATATTGCAGTCTTGGCAGAAAAATGTCTTGGGGGGATCACTACGTAGAGCTGCACCTAGATTGCAGATTACATTAGCAGCACCACTGCGCACTTCATCACAACTCTTATCCAGGGGCTCTTCTTTGATATTTGGAATAGTAGACAGGAGCTGTTGTAGGGGGGCGGTAGACAGTGGGGGAGCCATCGTTTCCACCTTGTGTGCAGTCAAAAAATGCTCTTGAAGCTGTGAAAACAGCAAAAAACGGGAACTGCAATATGCACAAGAAAAGCCTTTGGGTGGGCTATCAGAGGTCGACTTTTTGCTGTCTGTTGAGACCGATGAACTTGGTGTTGAGGTGCAACCTTTTTTGTGGTTTTCAAGCTTGCCCTCAGGGAAAAACCCTCCACATCTGTCACAGAGAACTGTGCTTTGCCTGTGTTTCTTGGTGCATTTTGGATAATGACGCTTCACATAATCCTTCCTTATAAATCGCATACCACAATAATCACAGGAATATGGCTTCTCTCCTGTGTGCAGGCGGAGGTGCACATTTAATTGCCAGTTGTTAGCAAAAGATCGGGGGCAATAGCTGCATGAGAATTTGAACTTTTTGTGAAAAAAAGGCTGTATCCTCTGTGTAATTCTGTTTTTCATCACATCAAGTGGTTTTGGGACAGGTTCTGCTGGTGGATCAGGTGCTGGCGGCGGGGGAGCATTTGTTTCATCGGAGGACCTTTTGCACTTGTATTTCTTCTTGTGCTTTTTCAGAGATCTTTCATGAGAGAACGAGGAGCCACAGCGCATGCACTTGAATAACTTTGGAGCATGGAACATGGAGATATGCCTGGAAAGTTTAGACTTGGCTGAGAAGCTTCTCGAACAGACTTTACAGTCAAATGTCTCCTGGTTTTGGGCAGGCTCAATGCCAAACCTATTCTGCCAGCCCTTGCCAACGTCATCTAAACTGATTTTGGGAATACGGATCTCCAGTCGTGTTTTTTTGCCTCTACAGCGAGCCTGATGCACTTTCAGGTGATCGTACCTTGAAAAGCAGCTGTCACAGGCTTTACAGCGATACGGCTTCACTTCATTGTGTGTCAAAATGTGAGCTCTCAGGGATCGTAATTTAATAAAAGACTTGGTGCAGAATTTGCACTTGAACTCTTGATCATCTGCTTGGGCCTTTTGCGCTGCCATGCTACGAGTGGGCATGCCTGGCTGTTTTGTTTCATCATCACTTGATGGATTTGGTTGCCCCTCTTTGTCACAGAAAGCTTCATGCTGCAAACACGTTGTTTGACTTGGAAATCTGTCACCGCAGTGCACACATGCATAGGGTTGTAAACCCGTATGTGAAACAAGATGCCTCGAGAGTAATGATGGATACCTGAACTTCTGTGGACATTGAGGGCATTTAAACTTAAACAAGTTGGTTGTATTGGACTTCAAATGCATTTTAGGGACCTTCTTACTCGTCTGTAAAGCAGTGCTGTTACTGACATTTTTGTTAGCAGGTGGTAAGCTGGCGTCGGGCTTGTTCGTGTCGTCACAGACGTTCTGATGTCTCGCTATTCTATTCACTCCAAAGTACTGTCCGCATTTTGAGCAGTAATGCAACGTGTTGGCCAAGTGGGCGCGGTGATGATTTTTCACACGGTCTTTTTTGCAAAACGTCCGTGGACAGTAGGAACACTGGTAGGGATTCTTTGTCTTATTGTTGGACTCCACTGTAACAAGTTGCGCAGACTGAGGAGGCAAACACTTCTCCTCGTGAAGTTTAAGGAACATGTCTCGGTAAAACTGCTTTCCACAGTTGGTGCAGGAATAAGGTTTGTCTCCGGTATGCCTGACCATGTGGCGCAGTAAAGAGCGCCGATTGCCGAAATTACGTTTGCAGAATGGACACAGGTTTGAAGAGGACCCAGATATATGTGTAAGGCAGTGTTTTCTTAGTATTTGGGCATCATTAAATACTTCTTTACACAAGGAACACTGCTGCTGCTCTGGTTTTTCCTCTTCTTTCCCAGATTCCAAGGGCTGCTGTGGCTTTAAAGATTCTTTCTTTTCAAGCCGAAGAGCTTCCCTTCTTTCCCTGTTTTTGTGAGTCTTTACATGTCTCAGGAGATGTGCAGGATGTGGGAACTGCATAGGACAGTCTGGGCATTTCAGCATTCCCCTTTTCAGATGTGTGCTTCTGTGCTGGATCAATTCTCCAATGTTAGGGAGAATCTTTCTGCAGACAGTGCACTGTATCCTCCTCTGGTGAACATTTTTATGACCAATTAGATGGGCTTGCTTCTTAAATCCCTTTTTACATTCCAGACAGCGATATGGTCTTTCACCACGGTGCCCACGCTCATGTTTCTTCAGTGTCTTTGCCGTGTTGAAACATGTCCCACAGAAACGACAGCTCAGGGCAGGGGTGTCTTTTTCTTCAGCTGCCTCCTGGTCATCCTTGCTCTCCTCTGTCTTTTCGCTGCTTGAAGTTTCTTGCTTTGACATGATAGAGAAAATTGAGTTCCTGTACTTGAACATTTTCCCAGTAAGTTTAAACAGCTCGTGTTTCTTCATGTGCCTGTACTTTCCAGAAGCGTGACAAAAAACAGCAGGACAGAGATTGCATTTGTAACGTGGCATACCTGTAAGAGTTTTCAAAAATGGCTGTGCTGCTTTTTTCTGTTCATTTTCCTTTGACTGTGTTGTCTGCACGTGGTCCTTTGACTGCGTTTTCTGCACATGCTCCTTTGACTGTGTTCTCTGCTCGTGGTCCTTAGTTTTTTGTTTTTCAGTCATGTGCTTTGACTGCATCCTCTCTTTGGCAAGTCGATTAATGTATTCGCGAAGGCAGGATACTTTAATGTGTCTATATCGGTTGGATGATAACGTGAAGGTTGCATGGCACAAGGGACACCGATATTTTCCGCCAACTTTTTCCTTGCCGCCGTATATTTTTGCTTTGACACAGAAGCGCAAATGTCGTGACCGGTTGTAGGAGTATTTGAAAATCCGTGGACAAAGGGGACATTTATGTTTTCCTCTTACATCTTTCTGTACTTCTTGATCTTTTGCACCACCGACTTCTGTCTCATTTGCTGAAAGTGTCTCACTCTTTCCATAACGTATGTTGCAGTAGTGCTTTTTAGCTTTCCTACTAGACGTAAAGCATTTACCACAAAAACTACATATATGTGTCCTGGAGATGTCAACAAGCTTGACATAGCATTTTGGCATATTTGCATCTGGATCGCGTTGCACTTCATCCCTTGGTGATGGTTTTTCCGTGTCGATGACATCAGCATCAGAATTTCTCTCAGGAAGTTTGGACGGCTTGCATCGACCGGGTACGTTCTTGTGTCTGTGCAGGGTACTACGCTGGGCAAAATACAGACCGCATGCATCACACTTAAATGGCGTTTTGCCAGTGTGAGTCCGCATATGTTTGATATAATGAAGTATTTTGGAAAATATTAGCTTGCACTTCACGCACCTGTGGCGGCCATGGCGATTGTTTTTGTTCTTTAGAGTAGAATCAAAAGACGGCCGGGGTCTTTTCTTGATCACAGTACACCAGTGTTGTTCAGCTTGTTCATTCTTCACCAAATAGACATTGCAAGTCTTGCAAAACTCAAAATTGTGCTCTGAATGGCAGCAATGGTGGTGTTCAATCAGATGATCCATACTGTGGGTTGTGTGTTGGCAAACTGCGCAATGATACGATTGGTCCGTTCCGTTAGTTGACTCCAAGTTTTTCAGTGTTACAACAGGTTGCAGCTGTTTTCTCATTTCCACAGAGGGTTTGAGTTGAGGTGCGTGTCCTTCTGAATCCATTTCTTTAAATGGACTGGAGATTAGCGCAGTTTCATCAGCATCACATGAAGAGTCTTCTCTTGACAGAGGTTCACCATACAGCATGCCAGACACTGAGTGTTCGTCTGCAGAGTCCAACTCTTCAAAGGACTCTCTTGCATTTTCAGCAACATCTCCATGAAGAATTAGTGGTTCTTGGGCCACTGGACTTGTCCATTCCTTTTCTGAACAAGAACTGATATCCGTCGTTGAGACACGAGGCTGTAAGCAGGATTCAAAACTACTAGAAACTCCTAGCTGGTTACTATCACTGGTCACAGCTTGGCTACTGCATTGTGATTTTGTAAAACAGGTTGTATTGGTCCTCTCTTCCTTTTCTAGACAGGGAGCTATACTAGCAGCATCATGTGTATTCTTGTCACTAGTATCTATAGAAAGACTGTCACATGTGACACTGGGACCACTACCATGTGTATATGGAGTTACAGTTGTACTTGTCTCCTGTGCTGCATTTGTCAGTCCTTCATTTAGATGGGGATCTGCATCTGTACTCGAGCTGTCGGACAGCAACTTGGACTCTATACTACTGGTCTCATCTTGCTTCTTCTTGTCCTTAGTTTCTATAGAATCAGTACTTGGGTCACTACAATCCGAAAAAGAACCAGTACTTGTCTGCCCAGCTGCACTGGTCAATTCTTTATCTAGACAGACATTTGTGTCTGTGCTGAGGCTTTTTGGCTGCAAGCAGGACTCTGAAAGGCTTACAACACTGGCATTCATCTCAGCAAGGTTTTTACAAACATTTTTCTGAGCTACACTTTCAGAAGACTGATGTTCAAGTAACTGCAAGCCAGATTCTGCATCAGGACTATTGCTTCTCAAGGAACTTGTGCATTCCTCCAATTCTTTAGTGGTAGCTTTAGAACTGGGTGCAACGTCAGCTGGTGGATCAGGAGACTGAGAGGCATTTGTCTTAATTTCTTCATCCTGACAGTCAGTTTCCATAGGTTCATCTTGACAGTTTATGGAATTGGGAATTGAGGGGTCATGTTCAATGCTGAACGATTCCTGCTCTTTCCGTTCAACGACCTTTTCAGTTGAATTATCGTTCTCATTGTTAAATGTAGTGACATCTGGAGCATCTGAAGGGATGTGCTCCCCCTCATTGGGTCCTTCTGGGTCCTTACCTCCGTGCAATTTTTCATAGCTACTTATCGAGATGTCTGGATATTTAGCTTCTGTAAGATCTCTTTCCACATTCTCTTTTTGTTTCTGATCTTGACAACCATCATAATCTTTTCTATCATGTACAGTCTCATTTTCTGAGGTTGTCTCAGTGCAAGAGGTAGGAGAGGACTGATCTTGTACTGCACAAGATGCAGTTGTATTTTCTGGACTTTCCATCTTTTCTTGAACACACTCCACTACATGTTCTCCTGTCTTCACATTTGATGGTGAAATTACATTAGTCTCAGACAAATTAGGACACAGACTCTCAGTTGGAAAGGTCATGCTTCCAGTCTGATTAAAAAACCATTCTGATGAACTGTGTTTTGAAGGAACATCAGTTTTAGGTTTTGGAAATAAATGACTTGCCATGAATTTACAAGAAGGCCTTGTTTCACCAGCATCTGCGTCTGAACAGCTGCTGACATCTGAGTAGTTCTCCAGAAATGCTGTACCAAGCATTCCACAGTCCTGTTTAATCCCTTGTAAATCTGCTGCAAAAGACGAAGGAAAAGATTCTGATGCCGTTAATCCATCAATGGCAAAATCTGTGATGTCACCATTTCCACAACTTTGCAAGTAATCTTTGTCCATTTGTTCTCCATCCGGTTGCCACTGCGTTTCACTGCAGTACCTTTGATAAACACAGTCCGAGCTGGAATTCGCAATACTTGGATTTGAGCTATAATTCGTAGTGAAGTTTGAGTTTGTCACAGGGGCTTCATGCGAAGCAGCTATGCCAGAGAAATCATTGGGTCCAATGAAGTTTTCCATGTGCTGGGAAATGGCTCCATCTGACTCTGATGTCCTTCTCAAAGTCCCTGGATCCGATGACAGAGGTGGGAGGTCATGGTAGTATGAATCCCACCCATGAGCCATTCTCTGCAAGAACTGGTCACTCTGGCGTTTTGTACCCAATTCTGAAAACACACAGAGGCACAGAATAACTAGAGATAAACTACAATAATTATCAGACAAAAAAGTATGCACAAAAATAGGAAAGGAAATCCTCACCTTGTATTGGACACAAAAGGGCTATCCAGGACGATGTGGGCTACATCTGATGGGAAACCTGTGTGTAAAAATTAGATGAATTAATTTTTATTACTCTTAACATTTTACAACGCACAGAAAACTCACATCTACAAATGCAACCAAAAAGTCTTCTGAAATTGAAATTTTGCTCTGGGGTAAATTTATTTGTAATTAATAAAATAGACACTTTTGCCAATCAACCTACACTTAACCCTTACTGCTTTTTTTTTTTTTACAGATTAATTGAAAATCAAAAACTAACATCCTTGGGGTATGTCTCCAACTTGACTGGAGTCGACCTGTGACAAACAGCGAGAGGACATTGCATAGAAAACCACACATTCCTGTATATCATATAGTACAATTCACGCTGCATGCCAAGATGAAAAACCAAGTCATTAGGTCAAATGAACGCTCTGCAGACCTGTGTGGTAGAACTATAGAGCATAATGGTCTTTTGAATAGAACCAGTTTGGAAACACCAGGACTAAGAGCAAGCAAAGAACAGAGCAAGTAAGCTCTTGGTCAGGGAGGTGACCAAGAACCCGACAGTAACGAACAAAACTTCAGAGGCCCTCAGCAGAGATGAGAGAACTTGTCTAAAGAAAACAATCTCATCGACAGTCCTTCAATGAGGCCTTTATGGCAGATGATAACCTATTTGAGTGAACTTGGACTTTGTTGAATGGCATTTAAAGTGAATCCAATAGCATAAGAAAAAAAGAATTATCTGGTCTGATGAGACAAAAATTGGAAGTCTTTGGGGAAACCTCCTACCACTTCATCTCACAAACACCAGGCACTGCTCATCACATGGCTAATACCATCAGTATGGTGAAACATGGTGGTGGTGGCAGCATCATGCTATGAGGGTGGTTCTCAGCAGCAGTCACAGGGACACTGGTCAGAACTGAGGGAAGGATGGACTGCCACCAAATACAGAGGTGTGCTTGAGGAAACCCTGAGAGCACATGACCTAAGACTAGGGTAGCGACTAAGCAAAGGTATGATGGACTGCTAGTCAGATGGTGGGCTAAAGCCTTGATAATGATCTTCTGGTCTGCAGAACTTCGCTTGAGGAGCTCCATTCCCCATTTACATGTGCAGTAGGTATCTACATATCCCACGCATGCACACCACTGTCAAGCACGTGCAATAATAACCTTGTAGTGCGGTTGTACACATATTGCAGTGTGGTTGGACTGCACATGGAGATCCACTAAATGGTCTGCATGGACTCTTATAAACTAGAGGAAATGATGAAATTTACAACACATGGACCTCATGCACTGAAACCAAACTAGAGGGACTGACTTAAGAATCTGTCCAGTCCAGCTCCTTATTCACAGGCGAATAGTACACAAGGGTTAAAAATGTGCATGGACCATGCGTGTGGAGCAAGCAGCA